CAAGGACACTGAATTTTTCCTGCCTCTCTCTGCTTAGTGCTGCCCGGCCCTGGGCTCTCAGCACTGGATCTCTTAACCCCTTTCTGCAGGCCCTGCCCCTGTGTGAACCCTGCCAGATGACTAATCAGCATTTCACCCTGACACATCCATGCCTCACACTCCTGTGGCTTTCAGACCTGATCCTGAGGCCTGAGCCTGTCAGCGGGGGCACCTTGCTTATCTCAGTGCTCACAGTAGGTCTGTTGCACTTGCACTTGATCAGTGCTCCTCTCTCACTCCCTCTGCTCCTCCTTCCCAGCTGCTCTGCCAGCTGGACGTGCTCCTGGCCTCCTCTTCCCTCCTCCTCCCCGCTGCCAGGCCGCTGCTGAAATCCTTCCCGGACCACACCTCCTTCCTTGACTGGCAGAATTCACTTCCTCCCAAAGTCCGCGAGCCCACTGACGTGGGAGAACGCCGCTCCACTGAAGGGGGGCACGCTCCTCCGTTCCTCTGAGCCAGCTGGAGCCCGTCTCCTTCCCAAAGAACCTAAGGCAGTTCTGAATTGAAACTACTGTAGAGGAACATGTTCCAAACAGTGTACAGAGAGAGTTCTGAAAAAAGCAGAGTAGGTACCTAGAGCCACCAATAGATAATTAGACTCAACAGTTATGCTTTTATTCATTTTTTCTAATATTTACTGAGCACCTCCCATGTGTCAGTAATCATTGTAGACACTAAGGATATTGATTGAAGTTAACAGACTAGAGAAAACCCTCATGGACCTGAAACACCCCAGTGCAAATTAGACACTTCCTGTCTATTAAGAGAATACTTACAATAATGGCATTTTGCTGTTTGGTATAATGCAATCATTCGTCTATGGTATTTAATGAAATTCAGGCTTCCTCCATTTGTAACTTACCAGGTTTGAACCTCGTGTTCCCATTTAACGTTGCTCAGAGTTCAGGTTTGGTTTGTTCCGGACTGACTTGTCTTGAAATCAGGGAAAGCGTCTTTGGTGCCCTCACAAGTGCACGCAGGTGTGATGATAGGGCAGGGGAGGGTGGGGCCTGCCTGGGGTCGGTCAGGAGGACCCTTGCTCAGTTCCTCTCTCTCCATCTTTGTGCAGAAGACTCTCAGGTCATCAGCACACTGTCCCCCTTACAGTCTCCTCACAAGGGACTCCCTCCCCGGCCACCGTCGCATAACAGGCCCCCTCCTCCCCAGTCCCTGGAGGGACTCAGGCAGATGCACTATCACCGCAACGACTATGACAAGTCACCCATAAAGCCCAAAATGTGGAGTGAGTCCTCGTTAGACGAGCCTTATGAGAAGGTCAAGAAACGTTCCTCCCACGGCCATTCCAGGTGAGCGGGGTCGGGAAGGCCAGAGGAGGTACCACAGGGATCAAAGCACTGTCCTGAATAGCTTCCAACTGGGGAACCCAGGGGGCGCCTAGCTCCTCCCTCTGGGTCGCCTTTCCACAGGGCCACTGACCCTGTCCAGGTGTGGATTTGTCATTTAAAGGGAAATTGGGGTTTTTGGCTCACAATCAATGTGTTGGCAGATGGCTGTAACGTATTGTTAAATTCCACTGCAATTAATTAGGAAGTCCTGGGCAGCACCATTCCAAAATGGCAAGTGAGAGCCGACCTCGTAGGAATCCCCACGTGGTTCAGAACCTTAAGCCGTCAGCCAACAGAGTTCTGGAGCCAAACAGCTGTAATCTTAGCCGTACATTATCAGCTCATTACTTGGCTGAGCTTGGAGAGGGGGTTTTGGAAGGCATTTTTGCTTAGCTTCTCTGGTTTTCTCATTTCCTTTAATCACATCATTTAAACTCCTAGTGGGTGCTCCGACAGGTAAATATTTGTCTCTGGGAAACAGAAACTGCGGTTCAGGACTTTGGCTTCACAGAATAGGTGTGCTCCTGTTCCAGCCAAGGCTGACGAGGGTCTTAGTCTCACGTTGCTCAGGGTTCAGGGACAAGGACCTCTTCCCACTCCTGGAGGGAAGGCTGAGAAGCAGAATAGAGATCAGAGGGAGGGCGGGTGGGAGTCCTGAGCAAGCTTACCTTATACCCAGACCGATGCCTGGAGGCTAGTTAGCTCCCCGGGCACAGGTGGTGCTGTCTGGCGGTGACTAGCATGGCCTCCTCTGGTTTGCAGCAGCCACAAGCGTTTCCCCAGCACTGGGAGCTGTGCTGAAGCAGGAGGGGGAAGCAGCTCCCTCCAGAACAGCCCCATCCGCAGCCTCCCTCACTGGAACTCACAGTCCAGCATGCCCTCCACGCCAGACCTGCGTGTCCGGAGTCCCCACTACGTTCATTCCACGAGGTGAGTCCACCCAGACCTCGGGCCACTCCCTCCCGCAGGCCACACTCTCGCCCTGCCTGGCATCTCTGGCCCCAGCTGGCCCAAGTAATGGGTGAACTAGAGTCAGACCTGAACTAGTGAGGTAGTTTCTTCTTAAAATGAAGCAGAATTGAGAACTGAAGGCCAGCAGCACGCCCGTGGGCGCCTGGCGTCAGACAACGGGCAGGGGCCTGAGTGAAAGGAGGGCAGGCAAGGCCAGACCGAGTAGCAGGGGGTGTGCTGGGAGCGAGACCTCGCTCTGAGGGGGTGATCTTCACTGTATAGTCCTTGTGTAGCTTTCTACTGGGGCCTGATTTATCCTGGACTTTTTCATGTCTCAATGTATAAATTCATAAAAGAACAAAAGGAAAGGCAAAAGCGAGGCTCCAGTGCATCACACCTTTATTTTCTAAAGAGGCAAAACCAAAACCACCCTTCCATGTAATCAAAAACTGAGTCCTTAGGGACCACACCTCAAAGGATGGATGGTGCGACCTTCTGGGAATAGTGAACCATGGTAAATAAGATGGAGCGCTCCAGGCAAGATGGCACCATTCATTCTATCATGCTGTCATTCATTCATGCAACGTGCATTTGTAAAGTGCCCGTGTGTAGCAGGCATTATTCTAGGGGATGAAGCTGTGAAAAAACAGACCATGCTCCTGTTCCCATCAGACGTACATTTTAGTCGGGAGTCACAGTAAGTACATGTGATAAGCACTAAGGAGAAAAGTGAACAGGGCAAGGGGCTACAGAGTGAAAGGAGAGATCATTTTTTAAATAGAAATGTTGAAGAAGCATGAGGTGAACTTGGAGCAGAGACCCAAATAGATGCGGAGCAAGCTCTGAGGATGTCCTGGGGAACAGCAGGGTCATAGCCCTGGACACCGGCCTGAACTGGGCATGTTTCCAGGAGGCCAGTATGGCTGGGACAGATTGATGTAGCAGGGTGGACCAGAGGGCCACATGGTGGGTACTTCGAACTCTCCCCTGGGGGACAGAACTGGAACTCATGTTTTGGCCAGCAGGGCCACCCTGAATTTCACATGTGGCCCTGGCACTGTCTGCATTGTTGATGGCTATTCAGAGTGTGAGCTCAGAGAAACAGAACGGATTATAAACAAAGGGGCAGCATGGTAAGTTTTTGCATTGGGCGTTTTCCATGTTCCACCAGCCTTCCCTTGTAGTCTTCATGGAAATGCAAATCTGTTTATGTGGTCTTGTAAATAGTATTTGGCTGAAGCATATGGACCTGTTTTTTGACCTGCAGAACTGGGCATTTCATCTGCATGCTAGGTTTTCCATCATGCTAGAGTGGGCATTTTCTCGGTTCCGTGGTTCTCTTTGTGTCTATAGAATCCCTGTCCACGTTTTAAAAAATGAAAAAAATAAAAAGCCCTGGCTATTGGCACACTTTTTTCAGAGGAAACCCTTATGTGGGCGCTGTCTTCAGTCCCACCTCCCACTGGGAACCGAAAATCACAGCCGAGGCTCGCCTTGACTCCAGGGATCGGCCTTGCTCTCCCTTGTCCTCCTCACCTGGGAGCAATGGAAAGCCCCGGGATTCCCAGAGCAGCACAGCTTTTGTCTGTTTCCCAGCTGAGCATTTGCTGGAGACTCTTTTCTGAATCCTCTGATTGCAGAGCCCGCAACCCCTCCCCTGGCCCCCCAGACCCACCAGCCTCTCCCTGCAGGTCCGTGGACCTCAGCCCAACGCGCCTGCACAGCCTTGCCCTGCACTTTCGGCAGCGGAGCTCCAGCCTGGAGTCCCAAGGCAAGCTCCTGGGCTCGGAAAACGACACGGGGAGCCCCGACTTCTACACCCCACGGACTCGTAGCAGCAATGGCTCGGACCCCATGGATGACTGCTCGTCCTGCACCAGTCACTCGAGCTCGGAGCACTACTACCCAGCGCAGATGAACGCCAACTACTCCACGCTGGCGGAGGACTCGCCATCCAAGGCGCGCGCACGGCAGCGACAGAGACAGCGGGCGGCGGGCGCGCTGGGCGCAGCGAACTCGGGCAGCATGCCCAACCTGGCTGCGAGGGGTGGCGGCGGGGGCGCACCTGGGGTCTACCTGCACAGCCAGAGCCAGCCCAGCTCGCAGTACCGGATCAAAGAGTACCCGCTGTACATCGAGGGGGGCGCCACACCCGTGGTCGTGCGCAGCCTGGAGAGCGATCAGGAGGGTCACTACAGCGTCAAAGCGCAGTTCAAGACCTCCAACTCCTATACGGCCGGTGGCCTCTTCCGGGAGAGCTGGAGGGCGGGCGAAGAGGGCGACGCGGGCCGCCTGACGCCATCACGCTCACAGATTCTGGGGACTCCCTCGATGGGCCGGGAGGGCATCCATGACAAGGGCACGGGGCGCACAGCTGTGTCAGATGAGCTGCGCCAGTGGTACCAGCGCTCCACTGCCTCCCACAAGGAGCACAGCCGCCTGTCACACACCAGCTCCACCTCCTCTGACAGTGGCTCCCAGTACAGCACCTCCTCCCAGAGCACCTTCCTGGCCCACAGCAGAGTCACCAGGATGCCCCAGATGTGCAAGGCCACGTCAGGTGAGTGGGATGGGGCGAGCCTGGCCTTGCACACTCACGTGCTCAGCCTAGGTGTGGATTACTGACTCATCTGGAGCGCTTGGAGATTTTCTCAGAGCCTGCAGTGAGGAGGAATCAAATGGTTGGTTCTAAAACCTAGCTGTCTGGGATGTATGAGACTGGAGGCGTTTCAGCTCTCCCCCTTTCACCTCCTCTCTCGCTGACCCTGGTTTTGCTAAGAGTGACAAAGACCTCCGAACGGGCGGGTCAGCACCAGTGGGCGGGGCCAACTTGCTCCCCTTTCCGCTTTCTCAGTAGGATGCCAATTATCCTGCAGCCGCTTCTCCAGGTAAGGACAGAAATCCAAGTTAGTTGTTGTCTCTGGTCTTATTCAGCAAAACACACCTTCACCCTGGTGGAGAGTGAGCCATTAGTACAGTAGAGACCTGGGTGGCACCTTGCAGAGGAAGGCTTGCTCTGGGCCTTGGTTTGTTGAAGCCCTGAGATCGGGTTGGTGTGTCCCTAGGTTGGGCAGGCCAAGGACTGGAGCGTGGAGCGCTGCACTGGACTTCTCTGTGACCACAGAGATAACTGCTTCCTCGAGATCCCCTTTCACTGGTGTTATGATAGAACCACAGTCCTTTTCTGGAAAGTGCTTTCAGATTTTCACATCCAAATTAAGGGCTCACCTCTTTCTTCTGCTCAGAGCACTGAGCAGTACAGAATTAAGTAATCCTCAGAGAAAAGGGCAGGAACCGTGCTCTGCCCTAAGAAGTCACCGTCCCTCCCCACTCCCTCTCCGAGACGGTCATGGTGGTAACAACAGCGCTTGTTCAGCAGACCCCAGGGGCTGGCAGGGCTCTAGACACTGCGTCCTGTACAGGTTCGGGGCTCATTAGGAGAGGGGGACTGCCTCATGCTGACTGTGGGAAAGGAAACGGGAAGGATTTTGACATAAAAGTGATTTAAAAAGTAGAATAAAATGAGAATCAGCAGCAAATGGAAGGACCTGCTGGTCAGGATTTGACTTATGCCTGGAAAGAGGCCAAAGGTCAGAGAAAAAGGGTGACTGTAAAGACAGAAAATGGGGGTCATGTTGGGGTCCTGAAGCAGATTCTGGGGGCCCGGAGAGAGCAGGGCTTCCGCCTTCCATCCCCTTGTCCCCATTGGCTCCTTTACATGGCGCCTCCAGCAGATGACAAGTTCCAAAGATGACCACGGAAATGATTTGTTCAGTCAAGACAGAACCATGGACCTCACAGTCCTACAACCATCTCCATAGTCCTCCTCCATCTGTACAATGAGCCCAGTGAGACCTGCTGTCCACCTCCCAGGGCACGATGAGAGTGAGCGACCAGCTGCCATTCACGCCGTTCTCGGACCTCGGGCCTCTGAGCCCTGTTAGAAGCAGCAAGACTCTGACAGAGGGCCAGGAGCGTTCAGGTTCCACTAAAATCTCAGCATCTGTCTAGTAGATTTGCTTTATTCAAAGAGATTTAATTATAATCTTTTGGAACATGCTTTAGACTAAAAATTTTAAGAAGTATTATCTGAGATTTCCTGATAAAAAAGATTCCATTCCCAAGAAAGCAAAGGATATGCATTTAAGGAGGTTTTACTTCCTATTAACTTTTTCCAACTAGAAAAATTCTGCCCATGTTAATAAACTCCCAGCTATTAAAAGCCCCAGGGCCCTTGAAATCTCCAAAGGGGTAGGTGTGAGTCTGAAATGGCAGAGGACAAGCTCTGAGAACCTTTCTGTTGGAGACAAAGGCACAGCTTTGCCACTGGGGCCGTATCTACGAATGCCCTGGTGTCCAGAGAAACAGGCCCTCCGGCATTAGCCCTGCGCAGGACTCCCTCAGGGCCTGGGGGGCGGCGGGTTCTGTGCTGCTGTGGAGGCTATTGCAATCCTCGTGGCCACTGCCCAGTGGCAAAACAGGAACTTAGGCTCCCAGGTTGTCTTGACTCAGGGTCCAGCTGCTGTGTGGTTGGGGAGAAAATGTGACTGGGTGAATGTGGGGAGGAGGTCCATGTTTCCGCAGTGTGACCCTGCTACAGGGTCATACCCAGCATCTCTGGAAAGAAGCCCCTTCACTTGACTGGTGTCTGACCCCTGTCTTTCTGCATCGCCTACATACAGCTGCCTTACCTCAAAGCCAGAGAAGCTCAACGCCTTCGAGTGAAATTGGAGCAACCCCCCCAAGCAGTCCCCACCACATCCTAACCTGGCAGACTGGGTGAGTTCTGTCAGATCTTTCCTCTTCTCCCAGGTTCTGGAATGATCCTCAGCCTTCCTTATCAGTTAGGAAGAGGGTAATGAGTATGAGATCCTAGTAGCAGAGGGGTTATCAGGAAAAGAATGATGAGTGTTCTTCATTCCTGGAAACCTTCCTTTTCCAAAGAAGCCTCACGAACTGCCCCTTCTTCCCCTCTCCTTTCCATCACTGTCCCTGTAGATGGGGAATTCTCTCTACTCTCTCGTAATGTGGGCAATGGCCCCAAGAACGTCGGGGAGGTGGTAACACAAGTCCAACTGTGCCACCTTGGTCATAATTCCAGGCAGCATGTGAGTTTGGTTCTGGTTCTCCCAGGACAATTTCCCAATGCCAGGAGCGAAGGAGGGAGGGGACAGAGACCAGGGTGAGCACCTGGTGCTGGGCCCTGGTCCCATGTCTGACCTGCTCCTTGGGGTGCCCGCCGTTTGGTATCAGGGTGCATCTTAAGAAAAAAGGCAAAAGGTTCAAATCCTGTCTCTGTCCTGGCCAACTGCTTAATCAACGCACAAAGGGGATCAGGTACCTTGAGACCTTTAAGTGGCCCACAGCAGGATGACAAAACCAAGACATGGCCTCTTTTATAGCATGCAGTGTAGATGGACACCCTAATCTCGAGGGCACTTAGGCTGTGTGCTGGTCTGCTGGCGGGTGTGCGGAGCCTGCTTTCTGCTCGGTTCTTGCCTCTTCTGTTGCTCCTAAGACATCACCTCTAAGCGGTTACATACTCCCAATGCCTGTTGGGAGTTTAAGGGTCCCTTCATCCAGATCTAGTGAGTTTCTCATTTGCTGGAGCATCGGTGGGGATGTCTGAAAGCTCTGTGTGAGTTGAATTATCAGAAAACAGTAGGACCAGGAGTGGCTCCACTGACTGCATTTCTGACTCTCATGCTTGGCAGACATTTTTTGTTCCTGTAGATTTATCTGTAGTGCTTTTAAACCAGGCTTTATGGGGCCTTATGTGACAGAAGATAGTGGAGCTTATGTTTGAGTGCTTGCTTTGTACTCAAATGCTGGAAATTTCTTCTAACATATACAACCTCACTCAGGAAGCAGCCGATCTTTTAGTTTTATAGAGAAGGCTAACAGAAAGTAAGTGCCTTGCCCAAAGTTACGGGGCCGGATGGAGCTGGAATTTCAGCCCTGCACTCTGTGCCCCATAGCCCTCTCTCCACCAGGCCAGTGGTGCTCCAAGTGCAGCCCCCAGACCAGCAGCATCATGGGGGATCTTGTTAGAAGTGCACGTTTTTGGGCCCATCCGTGGCCTACTGAGTCAAAAAGTCTCGCGGTGGGGCCTGGTGTCTGTGTTTTAGCAAACCCCCCAGGGTATTCTGATGCCCACTAAAGTTTGACAGTGTTCTTATGTCCACTCCCACTTCTGGGTCTGTTTGGGGGCAGCAACTTCCCTTCTGTCCTTATTGCAGATCCTGAAAACACTCCCTTACCATCCACACCCCAGCTCTAGCTTGTGCGGCCGGGCAGCTGCTAGTAGGCCTAGTGCCCGGGAGTCTCACCAAGACCGACTCATAAAAACCACCCATCTTCTGTATCTGTGGCACCCCCAGTGGTAAACCATTTCATCTGAATAAGGGACTCCAGGTTCCCGGCTCTCTCTCTGGATCCTCCGAATTTTCTGGATCACCCCAGTCTCACAGGACCCAAACAGATTTATTTACCCGACTGCAGGCTCTGAAATGTGTAAGTGCCCTTCACGGGGTCTTCAACCCTGCTCGTGTTTCACCACATACAGCCAGTGAGGACTCGAGAGATTTGAAACAAAAAGCTATTTTGGTCCTTGCAGTAAAACTTTTTAATCAGACTGAGTTAAATTATCATTAACAACTATTCTCTATGATGCGACAAGAAAATGAGAAATGGGCAGAAAGTGCCAAAGCCTGCCTTCCTAACAGACTAGAGAGGTCTTCTGACTCACTCACGGGGGTGAAAGTTCTGCATGACTTACTTGTCACTAACACTCAGGTGTGTATTCAGCTGGCCTTTCCAGTGTTTCAATGAGCTGCAAATCGTGTCTGTGTCGGTTCCTCTCTTTAACGTGACCTCTCTTCTCTTCCTCCTTCTGCTTTCCTTTGTTCAGAGAAGCAACAGAACACTCGCCCATTATGGACGGGTCTGAGTCTCCAACTCACCAAAGTACTGATGAGTAGAGGTATCGTAAGGGAATGTTTTGTTCTTACAGCTCTTCCCCCTTCACTGCTTATGAGTTTGTGGTCTCAGATGTGTTGCGTATGTGTTGCCCTTGCCCATATCATAATTCCCAGAAGGAAACATCTGCATGGTGTGGAAGCCATTGTTTTTATGTCTGATTTCTAGATACCTGTGGAACGAAATGTTTATATGTATGTTTTTATATCAGATGTTAGAGATTCTTACGCTACTTCCCAGAAAAGACCCCAGAGTGTATTTTAGATCTCCCCAGGCTCTACATACATGCAAATACTTGGCAGATACTTTTACTCACGTAGTGACCTGCCCATGAAAAGCAAAGCATCGTGCAGTGTAGGTTTCAAAGCACCACAGTCAGAGTTGATCCAGGAGCATGGGAAAATCTCTGATGATTTCCTTCCAAGATTTCTGAGTGACAGGTGTATATACTCCCAAATGCCGCACGGTCCTGCTTTCCAAAATGCGGTCCCTACATGATACAAGAGCATCGTCATCTGGGAGCTGGTTAGAAAGCTAGACTTCTGGACCTACTCAATTTGAGTCTGCATTTTAACAAGATCCCTGGGTGAATCAAATGCACTGCTGTGGTGGGTATAAAAACAGCAGCAACACCTGGTCCAGGTCCTGGCCTTAGGGACCAGCAGAACTGAACCGGAAGATAAGACATTGAAATTACGTAGTGTTTCAAGCGTTGACTGAAAAGATAAGGATGGTATTCAGAAGTGAATAAAGAGTTTAAAAAAAATTGAACCCTCACTATATTCTAGGAACCATGCTAGAGACCAGAGTCCTAAGGGTTCAAACTCAAATCACCAATTTGTAAACCTATCAGGATTTTGTATACAAGAGGAGTAAGAAACTTGCAGCACTTATGTATGAAGTACTTGGAGACTTTGAACAAAGTGCTAAAAGGAATCTGAGCGGAAAGGACTTCTGGCTTCTTGCAGATGCTGCCTGAACCTGACTTCAGAGGCCGGGGTGGGGGTTAGAAAGGAGGCAGCTGAGAGGCCCTTCCAAGGGCAAAAACACAGGTGCGGAAACTAGCAGGGCGTCTGGGGAACAGCAGAGAGTCTCGTTTTGCTGTAGAGAGCGAGCTGGACTTCGGTCTGAACACATCAGGAGAGAGACACGGACACAGTTTTAACTACAAGTCCCTGAGTTGGCAGATGAAGGATTAGGAAAACAGGGGCTTTGCCTTTAAGGAATGGTGTTAAACAAAATTCGAGTAAATTTATAGATTTTACTGACTTTATTCACTGATTCATGAATCAGACACCTTTCAGTCTAGCAGAGAGAAAGGGGCTCTGAGGAGCTGACTGAATAAAGACTTTTACAGGCAGAGGCAGCGTGAACAAGCGGCTTGGTCACTGCACGGCGACTTTCCTTCAGGGCTCTCAGGTTGCCACACTGGGGCTGCCCTTGCGGGTTCCAGAAGCCATTTCTGGGAGAGCCCAGTTAAGTCTCTGTTTGGTAGAAGGCAGTTCCATTTTGAGCCCACTGTCTTGTTTTGAACAATTTCCCCTCTTTGAGCAGACTCTCAGCCCAGCTGAGAGATGCGATCAGAATATAAGACTACTCCCAGCTACGGCTCTGCAGCTCACTGCTTATTCAGTGATCTTCTGTAGCTGAGTCTCAACTTCCCCTAAGTGTTAACTAGGTGCAGAAGTGGCGTTCGTGGGTCACAGCAGCAGCCTGTGTGACAGGACTTAAAAGACGGTAACCATGCAGGCCAGTGAAACTTGAGGGTCTGTAGACTGCACGGGTGGTTTTATCCTGGGGTAGCCGTGCCTCGTGTCCCTGTCTTTGGACACAGAGCCTGGATGCAGGGTTTCCCGAGTCTGCGCTGTTAACCAGAGAGAGGGAGATGAGTGCGCCCCAAAGCAATGGGGGGATCGAAACTCAGGGAGAAGTGTGGGACCAACAGAACCAGAGAATCAGCAGCATCATAGCAAACCCAGCCGTTGCTTGGAGGTTGGATGACCACCCTTAGAATCCTTAATCCTAGTGAACACTAAGATCTAATTGTGAACTGTTTGTTACACTAACATTCTGTGGCTGGCAAACTTGTAATTATTTACATTTCTTAATTTTTAGAAGTATGCTCTCCCTCACAGTAAATTTTTCAGTGTGCCATAAACCATGCTGACTGACAGACCTGGCACTACAGGTGCCTGGGAGCACCGACTCTGGGAAGAGTTCTCACCCCTCGCCGGCTCCAGGGAGAGTACAGTTTAAAGTAGAGTGCAACCCTGGTATCTCCCAGAATTTGGCAAGGTTTTCCATGGACTTTTGTTTTCCCTCAGTCTTTTGTTTTAAATACTTCGCAGACTTTTGTTCAGGTCTTACAGCCTCTTTAGAGTGGAAAGGCAGTCTAAAGAGATGGGCTGCCTGCAGGGCGGTGTGGCCGTAGGCTGGAAAGGCAACTCGGAGAGGTCAGACTGAGGGCTCGGGTGAAGGAGGGTAGGAAGAGTCATGTCTTTTAAGTACCTCTGTGTCTTTCATTTTGTATTAGTCTTTGTGCAATGAATCTTGCAGTGAAGCTATTTTGTCATCGTGAAGCCTTTTGGAAGTATTTGCATGACAATTAAAATAGGTATCCCATTGTGTTTGATTGGGGAGCCCTTATTTTCGACTGCATAACTTAAATCAGTGCTGTGGTTTAATTGGAACACTCCCATAATGGCTGTGAACCTGTGTAAGAGATGAACTGAAGGGAGCGCAAACGGGCAGAAACTGATTTTTATTCAGGAATAGCAGAGGAGTTGCGATTCTGGAAATGCATGATATAGCAAGGTACAGGTGAGTCCACTGAGGGTTTGGGGTGGGCTGTATTTATGGGCAAGGAATGAAAAGGGGCAAGGAGGGTCCAGTCAGAGTCTAAACAGTAAATTCACTGGCTTGAGGATAGACACAGATTCGTGGTAGATGTTCACTTGTCGGGAGGTAAGTGTTGGTGTTCTGTTAATCAGGCAGGAAACTGGTCTCCCAGTTCTTAAGTTCTGCTTTTCTGAGGACACTTACGTGGAATTTCCAATTAATATCCTCCAGTTCCACTTTGGGTTGAAATCCTTTCACATTTCTCCTTGAACAAGAGCTTTTGCAGACAGTATCACTGATCGACCATGTCATTTGGTGGGGTTTTTTTTTTGCCCCCTTAACCAAAGACATGGTTAGATGCAGTACATGTCTCTTGGGGCAGAGAAGGGTCACCCACAGGTGTCTAGTCCCATGGAAGAGGGAAATGGCAAGTGGATTTCATGGGCATCATTGAAACAAGAAGAAATGTCTACAAGTGGTACCTTTGAGTCAAAGTAGCTGAGTCGGGAACAAGGAAGTCCAGATGTGGGGATGGACAGTCTTGGTGGCTGGGGAGTTGAGAAGAGCTAGAAGTTCCTGAAAGATAAGGTTATTCTGTGTATAAGCCAGTGCTGACCATCTCCGTTTTGTCCCTGACATAAGTAACTCTGTTTTAGTTTGGGTTTACCTTTCTACTTACTTTTGGATGGAGTCCTTGTTATGGGGTGTTGATCACTCAGTTTATCACTGGGCATTTCTTCTGCATGGACTCCACCCATTTTGTTTATTTCTCCCCATGATGCCATGACTAGACATCTTCCTTCAGGGTGAGATAAGTTTTCAGGGTTGTTAGCATCTAAAAGGCCACATTTGAGCAACTTCCTGTAATGGATCAGAGTAGAGGATCGAGGCATCAGTATGAAACACTGGGCAAGCATTAATCTATCATGTTTGTTATTTTTACAAAGACAACAACTGATTAAAAATCGAAACAAAATGACAAATAGAAAACCCAAATTGTAACCCACGAGCCCAATCCTACCAGTAACCAGCTGAATAAATCAAAATTACAAGGTGAGTCAGATTAGATTGTGCTTGACCTTGAATTTTATATAATTGAATCTCAAGTTTCCCAAAACTGTACCCAAGTACAAGTGGCGCAGACTAGACACCTGTTTGTTCAGGGACAAGGTAATCAAGGACTGTCCTGTCGTCAAGGACAGCTCTAGCTGGAGAGTCCAGGTGGTTTTGTTGGGCAGCTAAGACTCTGGTGTAGGGTGGGTGATGTTGCCAAGGCGTAAAGGGTTTTGTGCTCAGAGCCTCATTTTGTACTCACTCTTCACCAGACAAGTAGGGATCTCCCAAAGGAAGTGAATCCTCAATGCTCCTGGTAAGTCCTACCTTAACTTGATTTAAATTCAGCAGAGTTGATTGGTGCAGTAGCTCAGTTTTCTGTGGACAGGTTGTGGACGGTTGGGGGTATAGTGTATAACCTAAGAAGCAGTGCCCAGTTATGTGCCAGCCTAAGATAGCTTAGGGTTTCAGTGCCCCTGGGAACTAGACCTCCCAGCCTAAAATTCCTTGCAAAGGTGGATGCTCCTGGTAAGGTGTTTTTGTCACCAGGACAGGTTTGAGTTACATAATAGTAACTTGGGGGTCACAAGTGTACTACGGTGTGCACAGGTATTTTTGTCTAACTGGGGAAGTATAAAGGGGAAAAACGACACAGAGGGAGGCTGGCAGCAGAAGTACACACTGTAGCTGACCCCCAAGGGAGTTAGGGTATTGTTTATGGTGGCAGTAGGGACAGAAGAAAAACCAGTTATAGGAAGGACCAGGGTGTCCTACATCACAGGAGACACGGAGTTTTAGGTGGCAAATCCAGCAGCCTGGAAGGTTACAACCCTTGGCAGCCACCTGGGAGATACAGACAAGGGCATTACATATACATACATAATCAAGGACCAATAGGAAGAGAAAAGTAGAAGAGTCCGTTTCCCTCCTTGTGATTTTCACAGTAAAGGAGAACAGTGGTCGAAATCAAGCTGTCATACTCTGAGGCCTGGTCAGGTGTTTGGGATAGCTGTCCACATCCAGTGTTGCCTGCTCTGGCTGTTCGAAGATTCTGAGTTTGAGATCACCGATGGCTTTCCTGGTCCCTTTAGGTCTTGTGACTCCTTGAATTAGACATAGATGCCTTCAAGGTTGGCTGCACAGGAACTGGTGAGCAGTACCAGGAAAGGTCTTCCCAACACAGGAAGAGGGAGTCCTTTAAGTTTACGACTTTTTCGGGAGTGGTATTCTCCAGAAGGTAGGTCATGAGGGGAATCAGATGTCAGGATGGATTCTTGTTCAGCACAGGCTTCTTAAACTTTTGAGAGCTGTTTTTGGAAGTAGAGAACAGGTAACTAGCAATGTTTCGTAGGTCCAGTTGTGCACTCTGCTGATCAGAGTAGGGGGCAGGTGCTGTTTTGCCGGGAGCAAGCTTATGTTTTTCAAAAGTTAAGGAAGAACAACCTTAGGTTTTTTGGATCAGTGACAGCACCTTGGTCCAGTGAAGTTTCTGAGACTCACCAAATTGGGGTCTAATGATGCCACACGTCCTGAGGACGGCAGGGGCAGTGCGGCCTCTGAGGCACAGGTGCGACGACGCAGCGTTCCTGGATCGCCTGACCAGTGACGTGAGTTCTGAGGTCACTGTGGGGAAAAAAATCCCATGTCGGGATGATGTTTTCAAGTAAGATGTCTTTGCTATAAAAGAGACAGTTGTTTTGCTATAAAAGAGACAGTTGTTTATCAATAGGGAAAAGCTATTTGAGGAAAGCCAATGATAAATACACAGACCGTGACCAATCCGTATTTGTTTATCACTTGCTCTCAACAACTGTGCTTAGGTTGGGCATGAAAATTTCTCAAGATGTTCAACAGCAAACCTTAAGACCTTAAGGAAGGTCTTAAGTACCTTCCTTGCCGACAAATTTTGTAACAGAGATCACCAACTCCTTTGACTAGTAAGCCCTGGTAGGATAAGAGTATTTCTCTGCATTATAGTAAAGCTGGTAACTCTGAGTACATAAATATTTTAATTAAACCAACAAACTTAAATTAGCTTTTATTTACTAAACATTTACCCTAGATCACATAAATTTGAAAAACATCTAAGTTTGTACATTTCAGAGCATTTAGAATACTTAATTTGATAAGTACTTATTTTTCTTTAAGCCAATTAAATAGGGCTCATTTACAAACTAATTTTGGTGATACCATCCAGAAGTAGAAAAATAGTACACATTTATAATATATACACATAAACATATAGATGTCAATTTTCACTTTAAAATTTTAGCCTTGAGACAAGTACGATGATGCAAAACTCACTAGTTTTTAAAAGAACAGATGGACACAAATGGTGTTTCTGGAAGAATTTGAAGATTCCATTTCTTCATTTAAGCACCAGGTCTCTCATAGCCAAATTAATACTTAAATGCATGAAAAGTTTTGTGAGGTTGGCAGGTGATCTAGTGTCGGTCTGGGGTCTGTTTTGCGACCAACTTGTCCTAGCATGTGTCGTGGAGTTAAATAAGTGCTCAACCTGCGGCCATCAGCTTTTGGGTTCTAAGATCCCATTAACCACAGAACTATTATTCCTTTACCTCATGTGCACATTAACAGAAACCAGCAGTGACCAAAGAGAAGGTACTGTGGACTGGCCAAGAGAAAGCCTTAGGTGTGCACCACCAGCAGTTCCCAAAGTGAAACTGGAAGGAACCCAAAGACCTCAGCAAATGGGCGCTGTGGACCAAGCAAGAGCTAATGACTGGTGCTCTGCTGGAGCCTCCTGTGAGTCTAGACCGACCCACTCACTGGGGAGCCAGTTAGATTGCTAACAGCACAGAGGGCAGAGCTTGGGACCCAGAGGAACTTACCCATGACCCCCAGAAATGGGGAGAAAAGGAATTCAAAAGGTTCACAGAGACGAGTACCTGTGTTTCTTGTCCATGAAGCCTTGAGATAGCACCTTAAGTTCCAGCAGTGCTACCAAACTGTTAAAAAGCAAAACTCAACTGAGTACACTTCAAGTTCTTTATTCAGTTAAATTGCACCTTAATTCCTTGAGGAATCAAAAATCTTTATAAGAACAGAAATGCAGCACTCAAAACAATTCGGATCCTGCCTATCCTTTTTAGTAATCCCAGAACCTCCCTTACTGTCTCAAAAGGCTTGCAAAAGGTTGTAAAAGATCTGGATTTAGGAAACAGCTTTTCTCTGTGCCTTTAAGATATAAATGTTCCACCTGGTCTTCTGCAGGAACTCTCCTCTGGGTTCTCTTTGAAATGCAACCTGCAGGGAGGTCATCCTTATCAGAAGGAAAAAACTGGAACTTAGGCAAGTAAAAAATCTTAACTGTCTTCTCCACAAACAGTAGCCTTCTGAGCAGGTAAACTTAATTTTTTCCAACTTCCAGAACCACTCTGGATCCAACTCTTCTTTCTACATTAGGGAGTCACGGCTCATGGCTAAGGGCCGAGGTGCAGCCTGGGCTTGCGAGCGCCCTTTCCATCGCCACCCCCACTCCTGCCACTGTGGTGCCTTCTCCAGGGGAGACTCACACCCGTGTCCTGTGAAAGCTGCTTGGCCTTGCTTTGGCGCATGCCCACCTGTGAACCAGTGACTGGCTGAAGGAGTCTAGTTGGCCTACCTGAGACCCTCGTCTACCCTTGTAAAGGTTTGGGTGACAGCTGACAGAGAGTACCTGCAGGACCACAGGACGTTCCAGAGGGACCCCCAGGGCACCAACCCCGCCCACGTGCCTGAGGAACAACCTATATCCATTGTGGGGTCCAACTACTTTTTGCCCCCAAAAGTTTCCCAACTCCTCAGACACAATGGCAACATCTGTTTTGTTAGGGCAGACAAGGAGTTTGCAGGGTGGGTGTAAGGCAGTCAGCCATTTACCATGTAAACACTCTTCTGAGTCTGATATCCACGGCTAGTACATAATTAAGGAATTTGGTCACTTTGCATCTGAAGCCACATTTAAGCAGCATTAACCAAGGTTCCAGGCACAAGACTCTCAATGAAGCCCACCGTATGCTCGCAGATGCCTCGGGATTTTCCAACTTTCTTTTTTTAAGACAGATGAGAAACATTTACAAAATCCAGAATGCCTTCATCCAATTATTCCTAGAGAAGTGAGCAAATCAAACTGAAGTGGTGACAACTGAATCATTTTTCCGACCATAAGCTGGTTCATGAGGCCATGTTTAAGATGCTGTTCTTGACCCACACTGGGGGCTCCTCCTGGCATCCATCCCAACCCTAACCCTAGCACTGGGTATGGGGAGACAGGTCAGCAGGGGAGAGAATCTTCTGACATTTTATGGAACGTCCTCAAGGGGGTTCCAAACAGAGCTTTCTGCCGCTAACTGGCATAGGCTCCAGAGAGGTCAAACGTGAAAATACTGCCTTAAAAACACACAGATCTACAACTCACAGCCCGATGTCATTCACAGGAACATCACTCAAAAACTGAAGGTTGGGTTAAAAGCCTAGAGGTTTCATGCCTTCAGAAATCAGCGCAAATGAAAATACACTACTAATGAGAGCAAACAACACAAGAATGAGCACACAAGTCACTGCAGACCACACTGCAACTGCAGGAACGGCGCCCAGGTTAGCGGGGCCAGCAACAGGGCTGGGGGGAGACAATGTGAGGCTCCACCTCCTCAGGCCCTGTGGGCTGCTCCCTGCTGAAGAGGGGCCTCCTGGGCAAATCCCAACCTTTATCTTGCTCTGAAAGAGCAAGATACCACAGAGAGGGCCACCTTTCCTGAAAATGAGTCCTAGTGATGATTATTGGCTGCAACATACATGTCTGTGTGATTACTTCTTGATATGTAAAAATTCTTTCTACTCAATCTACTTAGTGATGCCTACCTTTTAAAAAATATGTATTTTAAGATTTATATATTTTTAGAGAGAGGATGAAAGAGAGGGAGAGAAACATCCATCTTGCATAAGTCCTGGCTGGGGACTGAACCTGCAGCCCAGGCGTGTGCCCTGACCCGGAACAGAACCAATGGCCTTTTGCCTTGTGGGATGATACCCAACCCACCACACCAGTCAGGGCAAGACTTGTTAAAGTCTTTTATTTTTCTACATACATTACTATATATTTTCAATGCACCCTTTTTATAATCACAACACTTACTACTTAAAATAGTCAGCACTGATCCAAAGTTTTTAAAAACTAAATTCAAAACATGACTTCAGTTTCACTATGGGAAAACCTAACATTTTAAATATGCTTCTAGGACATAATAAAGATCTGGTAAAATCTGGTCAGTCGGCCCCAGGGTCCCAGGGAAGACAACCCAAAGCAGCTGTTCTGTGGAAAAGGGATCCAGCCCCAGGGGCTGTGTGCCGCTGGGCCACAGGGAGCTCCCCGGAGTCACACACTGCAGACCCATTACACCAGCGCCTCTGGAGCCTGGCCCGCGACTCAGATCTCCCAAGTGATTCCAGCACGCGGCCCAGCTGCATAAGGAAGTGTTAGCTCCACTTCCCTCCTTTCAGAGATGTTTCAGGTTTAGGTCCTCTTTACATGGGTTTTTTTCAGTCCATCAACGCGTTCTATCCACTCGGCGCTGCATCAAGCCTAGTTCCTTGTGGCCAGGGAAAACCACTGACCGGTATGAAACCCTACATAAGTGAGCATGCACTTCTGAACGCAGGCAGGTAAATGCCGTTCCCCACTAACCACCACCTCTCCTTGGATTCCCTGCAGGAGCTACAGTGACAGCTGTTTCTTGGATTCCTCCCTGTATCCAGAACTAGCTGACGTTCAGTGGTGCGGGCAGGAGAAAGCCAAGCCCGGGACCCTCGTGTGAGCAGCGGCCTCAACCTGACCGCATCGATGCCATTCTGAGATCACCTCACTGCCTCTCACTTGCCTTACCCAGACGCACTGTCACCCTGCACCAGCTTCGACCCTCGGCACCTCTCTTCTCCTGTCTCCACATCCCCTCACGCTCAGAAACCTGACTGAGGACACATTCTGCAAGGTTCCGGTCCCACTGTGTGTCCCCTGGCTCTCTTGCCTACAGCAAGCCAGGCACCTATCCTCAATGGCACCTTGGTGGCTTCCCCCTGCCGTGACAGCCCCCTAGCCAGGAACCATCAGAGAAGCTGGCTGGCATCACATTCCTGTGGACAAATAGCATGTACAGAAAACAGGAAAGGAGACTTATGTACAGGGTGACCCAGAAAGACTTTTTAAGCTGTGGCCAGCCTGCCACCTGGAGGCCAACCCAGCACTTCAGGAAGAGGAAGCCTGATGGGAATGTCTAGCTGACACCTGACATATTCCTTGGCGGGGAGGGGGAGGTAATGAAAAATGAAAGGGAGCTTAACATGTCACAGATACATACATCAGAGGATTACAATCAGTTCTATGCTGCCAAAGATTTAAATTAAAAAATAAAAACAAAAAATAAGAGGGGCCAAGAGGAAGACATTCTTTGTGCAATGAAATACCCTCCAAATTCTAAACTGCTACAACACACGTCAAAGTCAACCATCTGTAAACTGTTTCCCCTCTCCCTTAACACTCACCTTCTCTGTCCGTGGAGAGCCTGAGAACCGTGCTGACGTGCCGCGGGCAACGTCGGCGGGGCCTCGCTGGCACAGCCGCGGAGCTCCGCGCGTCTGGACGCGAGGCAGGGCAGGCCTGGGGGAGCGGCGGCCTGCACTGTCAGCCCTGTCTGTACCGGACACAAAGCTGCTCTCCTCTGAGGGCTCGCAGGAAACACAAGGTGGGGATGCCAAACGTGGTTCTCTCAGTAACACCACCAGTAAAACTGCATCCTGTCTTTTCGCACAAGGTGTTTCATTTTACTTTTTATGGGAAACCAAGGGAAAAGCACATTGCAATTCATTCCAATGTTTAACTGTTGTGGCTCATTTTATGTTTGTTAGCACTTGTGTGACGAAGAGCTCAGATCCGACTTTGGTTACCAATGTGTCACTCACTCAAACAACCCAACTATGTATGCCCTCTGGTAGAAAGGTTTTACTCACGTGTCTACTAGGCAAAGCAGGGTCGAAAACAATACCAGCTCCCAGGGGGCCCATATGCTTACAGCAGCGTCAGCCACCTTGATGTGCCACGTTTGTCTGCAGGCACTGAAAGAAGAAAGAAGAGCAAACGTAAGGTGGGGGAGCTGCATGTTTACATGTGTTTAAGCTACGCTTAATACACAACTGGAAAGCCATCAATCTTCAAAAGGCCTCAGAACTACTTTTATAATAATAACTAGTGCACACTCTTAGTTGGGTTATTCAAAATGGCACAAACACGGTCTCCACAGAGGTGGTATGCTGTGCTTATTAGCGCAAGTGGGGAGGGGCGGGGGGATCTGTTTTTCTCACCTGTAATGACTCCTAAGGGAAAAGCATTGGACAGCCAGAGACAGGAGCCGGGGTGGGGGAGTTTCACGGGAAAGCAGGACTGAGGTTAGCTTTAGCAGAAAAAAACCTTCGTTATTTAAGTATGTGTAGTCCAAAAATAACACTCCACCAGACCAGGAGGGCATGGATGGGCATTACACAAAATAACTAAACACGGTGCACCCTCTGCTGCAGCTGGCCAAGCGCGTGGACTCAGCAGGCTGGGACCCTCTGGACCATTCGGGACCTGGCATGCGAGGCTCTGCCTGAGGCCGGGTTGGTAATACCAGCTTGTGGAAGGGATCAGTATTCCTAGAACACTTTAGGGGTGGACCCGGAAGGATAAAACTGGTTTTAATGTTATTAAGTGGTTCTGAGAATTGATTTGGGGTGGGGGGTTGGGGATGTGTTTTTGTTGCTTTTATTTCGATGGTAAAAGTACAAACAGCAGGTTTTTTTCCCTTCCCAATTTGGAAACATTGTACATGGGGTCAATTTTCTTTCTCCCAAAAGCTGACATGTGGATCATCAAACTGAGCTATGTGCCAACAGGAAAAGTCAAAAGGGAAAGGTTACACAATCGGTACAGGAGTTTGACGTCATGACTGAAGTCAGTCAGGTCAAACTTTTAGTCCAACCGGGTTTCAGGGAATGAGAGATGAAGATTCTTTCTCAACACCTGGGTTCTGGATTCCGGAGCAGAAAGGAGTGGAGTGGGAGGGGGATTACAATTCAGACAAACATCACAATAGTCTGGTAGTAAAGACGGAGATTAAGTAAAACAGGTTTTACTGTTTAGCTGCGTTCAGTTACTACAAAGTGTACATAAAGTATTAGTCCTTGGAGACTGACATAATTAATGAATAAGCAATGTGGTGGGAAACAATACAGTTATTGTACACAAGCACTTGCAAGCTCTTTATAAGTCCCTATTCCTTTAAAACAGCAAGGTGAACCATGACACCCCTGGTCTGATACCGAGTCCCTCCTGGATTCTGTGCATATGTGTAAAACTGGCCTGTTTAGCCAGAAGACTGGTGAGAACACATCAGACTTTGTTGTTAGACAGGTGGGGTTTTTTATTTTGTTATATGGAGGCGAGTGTTGGAGAAGTTGAAATTCCACTTTGTTTTCATTCAGTATTAGTTTAGTTCTAAATATAGCAAACCCCATCCTGGTGCTATCAGATGACCAAGTTACTGCTTAGTTAACTAGGTGTAAAGTTTTTTCATATACATTAATGTCAGCAGTTTATTACAAGTTGTGTAAAATAGACACTAGTTTAATAATGGGGAAAAAAGGATTAGGTTGCTCCTGAAACTGACTGTAGAGCATGTAAAATGATTTTACTGGATTCTGTTCAACTGTAATCAATGAGAAGATGTACGTTGTAGACAAAGTTGCAGAATTAAAAAAAAATCTGCTTTTAATTTATTCTTTTTGTATTAAGAATTTGTATAGTACCTTTACATTTTGCAAAACAGTGTTGTCAACACTTATTAAAGCCTTTTCGAAATGGAGAGATCACATGATTGGAGACTTTGTTTGTTTCTAAGTGATAAATGCCTCAGCACGCTCTGGAAATCTGGACTTGGTGCTTGTGTCCTCGCCAGGCTCAGTTTTTAAAGTAAATCTATGGATGCTGTCCTTTTTATTAAATTTCTTTAACATTTTATTTTTTGATTACAGTTTGCATGCAACATTATTTTTAGTGTCAGGTGTACAGCATGGTGGTTAGAGAACTACTTTACAGTGTCCCCTTGACATTTCGGGTGCCCACAGTGTGGCCGACTAGAGTCCCTGTGCTTGCCATCCCCGGAGCCGCTCTGTAATCGCCCATCTCTGCCTCCTGATCCCTTCTCTTTTCTCGCCCTGCCCTCAACTGCCCTGCCTGTGGCGCCCATCAGTCTGTTTCTATTTTTTGTTGTTGTTTATTTTGTTATTAGATTCCACATGTAAGTGAAATCATACAGTGTCTGCCTGACTTATTTCACTTAGTATAGTACCTTCTAGGTCCACCCATGCTGTTAAGATTTTATTCTTTTTTATGACTGAATATTACTGTACATGTATACTATCGCTTTTATATCCACTGTCTATCATACAGATACTATTGTTATTGCCTTGCTTGATGTTGTAGGCAAAAAGCTCAGTTCATTTAGGAGATGCTAATTCTTATGCTATTCTCACTTTGTTGCTTAGACAACGATAATACATTATCAATTGTGTATTTCTCCTACTCCACACAAGGATGTGAGATTAGAGATCAGGTGCTCCTCAGGATGCTACTTTAGTACTTGTATTGCCATCAGTACGAACGGTTGGCTGTGTGTTCCAGGCACGGGTGCTGCCCCCACAGGACGCCCGGTGAAGAAACGCTGAGGAGGGACCCTGGGCTCTGGAGGTCAGCCTCGGCCTCCCTGTGGTCCGCGGTTCTGTGGAGGACGCACTGGGCCAATCAGGGACACAGGCGGGACGCTCGGGGCCTTTACGGCCTCTGCTGTCCGCCCCTGTGCTCACACCACAGCTCAAACTCTGCAGGTATGAAAAGTCCCATGTTCATGGGCAAAAAGGTAACTGGCTGACTTCAGAAGAGACGTGCTGCAATCGAATCCCCACCTCTTAACCTAAGCCGACGTCCATCTCATCACTAGTAGGAAACCAGAATCTCACAGCCAACAACATCCCTGGATGGAAAAGCCCTCCCCGGATGGAAAGCCCTGCTGAAGCACCGCCACCAGGGCAGGCTAACCCCTGCCAAAAACAAGAGCAATCCACTGAGAATGCAAAGCATGTCTGGAAGTGAGCCCATTAGGACAGCATTTCGTACTTCCTACAACCTCCTGGGAAAGCAACCAGGGCCCCCATATCTCAAGATAATCTACACTCATTTCAAACAAACAGCGACCTTCTACAAATCTTTAAATGTAAATATGCCACAGCTCAGGAAATAAATCTAGCATCACTCATTAAGTTCTATCACATGAAAGCAGTTTATACAGAGCAAGATGGGACTTTCCATTTCTTCCCCACCCCTTCCTACCTGTCACCACAAACACCCGCTGCCCCCTTACAAAGTGCCAACAAGGCAATTCCCAACAGTTACCTTGGTTATCAGAGAAGAAGAGAAAACACCAAAGCCTAGGAGGAAGCATTAGATACAGCCAGGCCTTTTCTTTCTCCCACAAAATCGGTTCAAGAAAACTCATGGCATAAAATTCTCTCTAAAAAGAGGGGTGTCAGAAAACCACAGAGAAGACCAGCAAGCAGGCAGTCGCCCACAGTTGAAGTCATTCATTGCATGTTCTGTGCTACATCCAGTCTTCATTCAAAAGCTTCCGGTCCGAAGAATCAGACTAGCAGGCACATGACCACAGCAACAGGGGGCAATCAGGTTGTCAACACTGAACAGAAGAGATTAAAATGAGACCCAGGGGTAAGAGATCAACAAGTGAGTAAACAGGATCGCACTGATTCCTCATTCAAAAAGGTGGCTGGTCAAAGGGATGGCAGAGAAAAGCCTAAAGAACCCACAGAGCCACAACCTCTTTGGCCCGGGACGAGGCCATGCCTCCAGCACAGTCAATATCTACTCAGGCAAGAGCTGGGGGGCCTGGGTTGCAATTCAGGAGTACGAACAGTGAGCAGATTATTTGATACAGCTCACTCATTTATAATTGCCCCCAGTACCTTTGTTCAGAAACACTTTTTTTCTCTTCATTAATTTGTATCCCCACAAACTTACAAGTTTTCTTTTATTTCTCATTCATTCATCCATTTCTTATCAAACTCACTCCAATCATGCTTTCATTCCCCCTGTTCTACCAAAACCACTCTTGTCAAGGTCAAGGATGACCCCCCACAAGGCCAAACTCCATCTGTTTTCACTTTGTGGGACTCACCAGTTGAGCCCTCTTGCACACAGCCGATCCCTCGTAGGAGCTGCCTTCATTGTAACATTTTCTTCCCTGGGACCCCAGGCTTTCCTCCCTTGAGTACAGGATGCCTTCCTAGTCCCCTTGGGAGTTTTTCCTCATCTCCTGACTTCGCAGTGGAACGACCCGGGGCTCAGTGCTTGGGCTCCTTGTCTTCTTTACCCACAATCGCTCTTCTTGTAGCTCTCATGTCATCTCGTGGTTTTAAAGGTCATCTCTGTGCTGATGGCAGCTACACTTGTCCCTACACCCTGGACCTCCTCTCTGAGACTTGGACTTTCTACTGCCTACTCAACACCTCCACACAGATGTCTAATGTGCTAATGTGTCCAGACCTAAATCTGACCCTCCCGTTACGGCTGCTGTATTAATGACCTTCCTTGGCTCCGTCACGGGCAGCTCCAGCCATCCAGTGCCTGGGCCAAAAATCTGGGACTCATCCATGATCGATTTCTGTCTCACACCCCACGTCTGCAGCAAAAAAAATGAATGTAAGATCCCTGCATTTAAGAGATTTATATGATATTTGAGGGTGGGGGTGGAAGGCTGGAGGGGTGTACAAAACGATAAGAACGCAGGGACAGTGGGAGATTCAGCCTCTGACAAGCGGGAGGAATACCTTTTCCTCCAAGTCAGGCAAGACAAGCTGCTGGCAGGTGTGGAAGTGCAGAGAGGCCGTAAGCTTGCTGTAGGCTCACCCTGCTGTGAGAACGGACAGGCAAGACCACGCTCCAGGTGAGAGGGGCAAGAGGGGGCGAGGTCGGGATGGAGCAGAGTCATGAGAACCAGCTTATACAACAG